ACGTGCAGAAAATGTGTGAAAATGTCAACAAATTGGCTTTATGGCAGCCAGAAAACCTTCAAACAAACACGGTCTAATCAAAAACATTTATGTATAAAGTTGTTTGTCGAGCGATCTAAGAACCCGGTATTGCCCTCAGCGAGAGGGGGGGCTTCTTCACAATTCTGCACTGATCAACGTAGTGAGGTTTGGTCAAAAAATATCCATGATCAATATGTGGGGGGGGGGAGGAAGATCTTCATCCATCAGTCGATTGAGAATGGCTGATATGTTTGTTGTATTATTTGAAAAGCAGATTCTCGTTTGGCAGGCTTTAATTTGAGCCACATGGCACCTCATCAGTGTTCATGGAATGGCTACATAGGCGAATGTGTTCGCTCCTAGACTAGCTAGCTTGGTCACATGAGCGTGTTATAGTAATTAATCATTTATTGCCTTAAACTCAGAATAGTGTGGTCAGTGCTGACAATGTAACGTCGGTGCCTCATCACTATAAAGAAGTCCACAATACTAACCTGATTTTCAACCAGATTGCATTTGCTTAGAGCCCTGGATATCTCGATGGTCTTTTTAGAAGTCGCTGACCTCGGCTGATGTGTGTTTGTGTTCGTTGACACAGATCGCTTGGATTTCCATCTCATTTTGGATTGTTGTCAACAGTGCCCGAGCATTTTCATTCAAACTCCATGCCTCCTGTGGGTAAATGCTTGCTATTCAACTGTACATGCTGTGATCAACAAATATTGCTGCCGCACTGTTTGCTTATAGTGCGGAACACGGAACACAACACAGTCCATTCTCAACTATCCGTGGGCAGATTAACGGCGCGCTTAGCCAAAATAATAGTGAAGAAATTATTTGCCGTATATTTTCGCACGCTGGTGTAGGTATTCGCTGCTCTTCACTCATGAGACAGTCTGTGGCTCAGTGTCCACATAAGTTGACCTCTTTTAAGATGCCAAAAAAAAGACAATTCTGTGCCCCTCGACATGTATGGGTTGCAAAATCTGGCTGTGACGGTCCCACCTGATGACGGAGGCTTGTGTTGCCTCCGAAACGTCGTGATTTTTTATTATTTTATTTTATTTTTTATTAATTTTAATTTCATTTTTCTACCTACGTGACTTTACCGAAAGAACTATAAGAGTATGAATCCTTGCAGCCACGAAAGCTTCAAATCTAGAATTGCATAGCCTAATTTACATACACGGTGCACTATCTGTGTTTTTCATTTATCCGAGCCCCTTATTTCCCTGGTTAATTGACTTTGCTCTACAACTGCCTTTTCGTTTTTAGTAAGACAACAAATCTGCTTTTCTGTTTAGTACTGTACTGAAATCTGAGTGCAGTTCGGTATGAGCTGTTCACAGACTGTGGGATCTGATAACACAATAAATGCTCGTACGCCTACACAACTCACGTAACAATTGCACCTCAAATTGTGTGAATAGCAGAGGAGTTTTGCTTGGAACTGCTATATATTCTCCTAAATTTATACGAAAATATTCCAGACTTACTTGTAAATTTTGAATGTGCTTATTGTTGTTACGCAGAGGATGCCACTGCTCTGTAGAGTGATTTAAATTGTATTTACTTTCATCAACAGTCAATATGACGTCTCTAACGTTATCTCGCCCGATTCCTATTCTTATTTGTATTTAATTTTTTTTCATTCCAGCTCTTCCTTCTTTATACATGGCTTTGATCATTTCTCTATATGTTTTTAAGGCCTTGGGTTTGTGAGAGCTTGTAGGACGACATCGGTTTCCACTGAATAACATTCTAAATCATGTCTAAAAAGGCAAGGCATAGTTTTTTGTTTATTATTATCATTTTTTAAACCTATCTACGTGACTTTACCGAAAGACCCAAAGAATATATTATGAATATGCATAATTGTCGAAAAATGGTTAGTTATCCTACAAGTTAACCATTTCTGTATTCTCTTCTCTCATGTACTTCATCAACAGTTAATATGCATGTTATAAGAAGATAATTGTTCAGTAATTGAACCTCATGGCGGGACCCCGGGGTCCCGAATAAAACGGAAGTCAAAATCGACATTAATTAATACATTTTTGGCGACTCCGTCCCACCGCGCACATAAACGCAGCGACCCGCCTGGCGCGGATCATTCTGTTTCCATGTCATGCGAGGGCATCGAGGACGAATGCGCAGAAAAAACTAAAGTTTGAAACTTTCTCGTGTAGAGCTCATCGAGAGGAATAGATTGCTGCACCGTTCGCCTTCAACAGACATAAAATGACGTCGCAACGCAGTTTATGCGAGAGCCGGGGGCTTGTGGGACCCCGGGGTCCCGCCATCAGGTTAAATTGTTCAAATCAGTTGTGTTAATCCTTTTGTAATAGAAAAATGACATTTGAATAATTCCGGAATTGAAGGTACAATAATACATTTCTGTGTACACAGCTGGTAAATAGGCCTGCTAATTTTGGTCCAACAACTGGTCCCACTTCTTTAATGATGTACAAAAAAAATTCCACCTCGTTCCAGAGCCTTCCCTATTGTGTACTGCATTGAAGTTAAAATGTGTTTTTTTTTACAATGCAAACCACTGCTTTTTCTATTATTCCCTAATCATCTCATTGGGGTTAAAGTACTGTTGCAGTCCCCTTTCCAATGATCATAACCTCCATTAGGGTTTTGACTACAAGGGTACAGATGGTTGTGCTAAAATACCACTTCTGTGTCTTAATATAGGTTGCTATACAGCATTATGGTAGCTGTTAAGCGAGTCTCCAGGGGGTTCGTAACGTTGACCTTTGTTGTAAAATACTTTGAATCGAAAAGTGCTTCAACACAATTGAAACTCACTGTGGTGATGCAGAGCATTATGGGTTTAAAAATAAATTAACAGGATAATATTACTGCGTAGCTTTTTGCAGTCAACATTTCACACAAACTGCTTGCCACAAATGGACCAATACCTTGCTGATGTCGTCGAGGAGGATAAACCATCACGCCAACTCCGATCATCCTTGCAGCGGCTTTTCGCTGGCCATCGAACAAAGGCAGTTACCGCATCGCGCGCTTTCAGATGTCCTTCTGTGGCCATCTGAAACGCTATTTCATTTGATATTTGGAAGCCACTGGAGCTATGCACTTTGAAATTGTCTAGATTGAAAACTCATTTCTTTGGAACTGCTGTTTGTGTTTAGTTTGTCCTTCTCCCGCTCTTCCGATTAGCACGGTTGGCTACGTACGGTGCAAAAGAAGTTCAACATACATACATCAAACACTGGCAGCAGCCAAAATATACTACGTGTTGAGAGAGAGCATGAGCTGCTCAATGCAGGTCCTGAAGATACTGTAAGCACGTGTAGCGAAACGTCAAACATCTTGCTAAACAACATGCGGTGCAACTCAAAAACACATGAGGATAATGTTATCGTGGTCTGGAAAGCCAATATAGGCTGATGGATGAAAAATATAATTTATATTTAAGTTGAGGGACAGGTCTGTTTATTTTATTGCAGTACATAATGTTCAGTATAGCATATGAAAGGGTATTGAATTAATGCGTTTATATATACTGCAAATGGATTTATAACGATTTGAATAATGTGTATAAAATGTATTCGACGAAAAAAACATTCAGAATTCACAATGGACGCTTTGTGGTGGATATAATTACAGTATTGTACTCGTAACCTATGAATGCTATATACAGTCAATACATTGGTCTGTATCATTATTTTATAACACGTTCCTTCGGAGTGGGCAGGTAGGAACTTGGTTGGACAGCGCATTCGTGCACGACAGACAAATATGCACGACAGACAGACAAATAATCCCTGGTGGGCAGTGTGGAACCTGTTGTTCCTACCTGTATTAGGAGTATAGCAGTTGTGATGTTTTTACTGACACACATTTACGAGCTGCTATATTACATTTCTCCACACAGTCAAAGTTACTAAAACAAGAGTGTTGTTTGTGTGTGTCTGTGGTTTACGCAGTTCTGGCGCAGGCAACATCACGTGGGCACTACGTGCTTTATACATTCACCCAAGCTGCATTGTGAACAGCTTGATGCGAGAGGCTGCCCTCATGTGCAGCATCTTGGCATCTGCTGTGCTCGTATCTTGAGACACAATGTAGGAACTATATTTGGAGGCTGTGTAAAACGCTTGCAAATTTGGCCTTCCCATGGTAATAATTGGCAGAGTACCACGTTTGTAATGTGGTTCAAAAAAAGATTGCCTTAATTCATTCCGCTGGCCATGGCACAATAGTTAATTGAGGATTTAATCAGGTGTTGCCGTAAAGGTTACATGCATCTCTAAGCATTCACAACTGCTGCAGTGATGATGCACTACAGTATTTTTGAAGTAAATGTAAATTCGGTATAAAAATATTGCGAAATGTAGATATCAGCATTTGTGACGTGTTGAAAAAGTACAATACCCAATCATCAACCGTGATCTATCCACTGCTGGATGGAGCATCACCATCCCTCGCGGTTTTGCGATACGGCAAAATTGCCCTTCGTGTTCACAAAGGTAAAACAACAAAACCGAACTGGACGTGTAAAACGGTAGAAGATGCCAAACACTGATTACTAGCCAAAAAAAATAGAAAAATAATTGAAATTAATTATTGCACACGAGTGCAAAATGTTATTCATATTTTTTCAAGATAGGGGAAAAGGAGAGGGATGGGGGGCTCAGAAAATGGCACGGGTCTGAATTAGGTGTCAGTTTTGTTGCCAGATTAAAGGGTAAAAAAACCAATTAATTTTTTTACTGGCAAATGAGGTACTAATGGGGTCTGAATTAGTTTAGCGTACAGCCCCATACACTCATCTGAGACATTTGAGAGGCCACGTGACAGCGACGTCCCATCCCCGTGCCCGTACACCCACCCACGTGCGTGCGTGCGTGCGTGCGCGCGTGTGTTTGCATCTAAAATGACCAGCGCATTGGCAACTTGCAGGCTGGCAGAGCCGTCCTCTCCATAGCGCAGCGACGACGCTCTGAGCTATTCATGGGCACGGGCTCGCGTCCTGGGATTGGATCCAGCGACAGGCAGTCGGGCTACAAATACAAGCGCTCAAGGGATGTTCTTTCAGTGACCGCTCCGTAGCAGTTAATGAGTGTTACCTTGTGATTTGTTTTCTTCCAATTATCAGTGTTGTTTTTTTTTCTTCGTGTAAAACATTTGGTACCTTGGTCAGCACTTTGATTGATTTCATCGACTGAAAAATATTGTCTGGCTGTAAACGTATCTCAACCGAGCTTGGTTTTCAAACTGATTTTAAAATAGCATGCGAAGCTTTTCTACAACTCCAGGCTGTTTTCATGCAAGGTAATACCAGCACTTGATAACCACACCATGAAACTTGTATATGGGTTACTTATTTGTTAACAGTATTTGGCTTTTTACGGTTCTGTGTCATTAAAAATATTTTGCTTGATGTTAAACTGTTTCATGTAAAGGGACACTCGGGTTTTAGTGTGCATATGTACGTGTTGTGAGATCGCAGCTGTGGATTTAACCTCGTAAAATGAGACTTGGATACACGGGTTAAAGGAGCAACAGCTACATGCGAAGACGTGTTTTTAAATAGTCCTTCGCAATGATTGTTCCTTTTTAACGTAATTCGTTATGGATCTTATAAAAAAAAATGTCAGAAAAAATCAATGGAAGGCGAATGTTATGATAATGAAAAACTATTCGAATGAATATCAACAAATCAATAGGACTACACTCATAGGAAATATATATTTGTTAATTCTTAACAGTTTTTTATTGCAGGTTTTACACCAATATTATCCATAATAGAGATTTTTGGGTTCGATCTCGTAAATATAAATGTGTCGTTAAACCCGCCACCACCCGACACAGCCAATTACTAAGATTTGTAACGTAAACAAAACATGCCAATTCGTTACTAGTTCACCACACGGGTGCTTCACGACAAATGTATAATTATGTGACCTAACCCAAACAAACAGTTGTTTCCGGAGAGGGCTCTTTGAAACATTTTAATGTTTTGCAGGCATAATATATTTAATACATCGACGTGAATTCATACATTCAAATATATTCAAGTAGTTGGTATCCTTAGTCAACAAAAAAACCCAGAATAGTTCTGCGCGGACTACTTTAGTAACATGACAAAACATTTTGACGACCCTTTGTAAAAAACCACATGCTTAAAATTACCTCTATCCGAGTGAAACATCTTTTTGGCCCACGTTGACTCCCTTGATAGGCCAATACGCCCCCGCCACCCTCCCAAAAAAGTATTAACCAATTACATTTTGATTACTAATCTATTATAAATGACAGCAAGGGCATTGCATTCATTGCTTCTTGCATAATGATGCCACATTGCAGTTAAATGATGACCCCGTGGATTATGTAAAGAGAAGGGGCTGCTGGCTGCTGTGGTATTGCACCCAAGTCTATCGTCCACTGGATCAAGCCCTTGGCTCCGACACGAAGGGTCGTTGTAATGGACTTGGGCACATATAGCGGATAGACATTAGGCGTGCTCAATATACTGTGCTTGAGCACGGGCCTACAAGACCTCCGCTAAAGGGAGCTCTAGAGAGTCCCCGTGTAGAGACCGTATTTGGCCTACTCTTCCACACTGACCAGATATCATGGAAGAGGTGGGAGTTCCCACACCTTTACCCCACCACACTGGACCTGCCAATCGTCTCACTATAGTGTTCACATTTAAGAGACTTGCCCAATATTTCAATTGGGAAAGGGAATCTAATTGGAGACCAGTGTGCTAACCATTACACCATGGCAGCTTCCTCTTATAGTATTTTAAGATATACGTGTTACCTTTTCTATATTACAGTTCTTTACTTTTACATATCAGTATACTAATAACAAAAGTCAATCGTTTAGAACCGCTTTATCAACAGATGAACGCCTACCTGCCATATGCTGTGTCAGTCACGAGGATTTTTTTTATATATACCGACCGTACCACACTGGGTTGGTGAAACGGGAGCCCAAAACCAATTCATTTATCACTCGTCACTGGCGTTAGCCATGACTGGGAATCAAATTTAGGCAAAAGGATTCTTAGCACAGTGTGCTAACCACTGTGCCACCACTCCTCCCAAACCCACACAGATGTGTATATATAGTATTTTATATAATGTACAGTGCGGTACTTGCATATACACCTGTGTACATCGTAAGGGCCTTCCCGCTTTGATCACACGGCATTTGCGTCCTACATCCCATCACCTACAGTAGCAGACGCTCAGTCACTTGACCACTGAGAAATGAAGAGCATCCGAGGGGCAATGCATAGCCAAAATTCCATCTGTAAGCACCTGTTAAGAGATGAAGCACAAACCAGTTCCTTTGTTCTCGTCAGGGATTGAAGCAGCTTCCAGTATTAACTGCTCGTGACGAGCACTGGGTTTTTACAGAATGTTTTTTTTAAGTACAAAGTCTTCCTTTTACAATGTTGGTGTTTTCTTCCGGCAGGCTCGAGGAAAGGTATGGGTAAGATAAAAACAAGTGTTTTAATAAACGTATGTAAAAATATACGCAAGTAAAATGCTGCGTTATTTGATTGTTAACTTTATGGGTTTCATTTAGATTCAATAAAGCCTTTTCTCAGTTTTTAGCATACTTTCGTACGTTAAAAAGATTGTACACTTGCATGTGAAATGTTTAAAGGTGCAGCCCTGTAATTTCCTGCCTACGCCACTGTTAATGGAAGGGGCTGCCATACGGGGGGAGATTTAGAGAGTCCCTCTAGAGTTCAGAAGGAGCTCGCTACTGTTCCCCCGCTGGACAGACATGGTGAAAGAGGTTGGGGAGTGCCCACACTTTACCCCACCGCATGCGTGACTTGCCGATCGACTTAACTGTGGTCGTACTACCCATTTATACTGCTGGGTGAAATGTTTAATGAGAATGAATTATAGCCGTGGTTGCCTGTCTTTGTGTGTTGCGTGTGTGTGTGCATGATAGCGGTGGTGGTGTAGCGGTTAGCGCGCTGCGCTACGAATCCGGCAACCCGAGTTCGATTCTCGCTCACGGCCACCAACACCAGTGACGATTATCTGAACTGGTCCTGGGCCTCCTCTAGGTCAACTCAACCTCTAATGAGTACCTGGTGCGGTGTGTAAACATCGCCACTGGGGAGACAAAGGCAGTCTGGCGTGGTGCTGGCCACCCACCCCCTTGTGTGCCGTGCCAGCCTTCATAGGTTCACGCTAACAGCACTTGCCCCAACAGTTTGTGAAGGCTATACTGGGGATTTTTGTCTTTGTCTTTGTGTGCGTGATAGGATGTACCCTGCCAACCTCTGCAGCACCTCTGTCGCGTCATGGAATGTCCCTCACTGCAACTGCTAAATAGGCGCATCAACCACAACGAACACATTTGGGAGCTGGCCGGATAACACGAGAGAACGCTGTACTAAATCAGGAGCACCTTCCTCAACGGCATCTAGGAATATATCTTCCCCATTTTATACTGTTATTGAGCTCTGTGAGTTTAGCTTTAAATTGCATAAATAGTTATATTGAATTACACTGACTTGATTTAGTATAAATATTTTAATCGCTGGATCATTTAAATGTTAAAAGTAATCCCTTTATTTAAAAAAATTGAGTTAGCAGACGTTTTCTAACTAAAAAAGGAGAAAAGAAATACATTTAATTGCTGTTTGGGTGTTTTATTTTTAAAGGAACACTATAGAAATATTTTAATACACTTCCTAGATCGTTATTTGAAAGTTAAGTTGGAATCTTATGTTATAAACTACTTTTAATAAAACCTCAAACTAAATCTAGCAATATCTAGTCTTGGGTGTTAAAAAAATAAAGATTTAGTCTAAGTATAATTATTATCACTTGTCATTACTGTAATAATAAGTGGACTCCACTTACTGGAATAAACACTCGGACGAAGATTATTTTCAATAATAACAGGCTTAGAACCTCAACAATTTAGCTTCTGGCTTTGAACATCCGAGAAGTAGAGCGAGTCAGTGCCGACAACTGCAAAGTTGCGTTATAATCCCAAGTCACTGTAAGAAATCCCATCGCCAAGATGATGCTAACAGAGTACATGTGGATGGTGATCGTTGGCTTCATCATAGCCTTCATCCTCGCCTTCTCCGTGGGCGCCAATGATGTGGCCAACTCGTTTGGCACGGCCGTGGGCTCCGGCGTCGTCACCCTCAAGCAGGCCTGCATCCTGGCCTCCATCTTCGAGACGCTGGGCTCCATTATGCTGGGAGCCAAAGTGGGTGAAACGATCCGCAAGGGCATCGTGGACGTCGACCTGTACAACGAAACTGCGGAGGTGCTCATGGCCGGCGAGGTCAGCGCCATGGTCGGTGAGTACTTTCTCCGCGCGCACGCGCTGCCCCCATTTCAGCTGCAGCTCCTGCTTAAACTAAACGCTAAACTGTATTTTGTCAATTTTATCAGGTCTGGTCCACTGAGATATGAAGCTCTGTTTTCAGAAGTGGCCTGGCCACAAATGATAACCCAACGAAGTGGCTTATGTGGAAATTTATAGCAGCCAAATACTCTAAACGCATATTGATTCTAAATGTGGAGGGGAAAACCGGAGGACCCGGAGAAAAATCTACTCCACCACGGGGAGAGAGATACGCAAACTCCAAATATACAGGCGTCAGGGTCGGGATCGAACCCACAACCTCCTGTATGCCAGGCGAGGTAGTTAACATCTCGCCACTGCGGCGTCCTTACTAATACTGTGCTTGGTCGACATAGGGTCGCGTCGCGCCCTCAACCCTAGCCGTTTACTCGCAAGCAGTCCATCCCTCCTGAGCGGTGAGGCCCATGTCCAACTCCGTCAGGTGTGACGAGGCCAGGCAGATGGGCACTTCCAGTCGCTACTTCGTCTCACTTCCCCACCTCGACTCGACACCGAGGTGTCGGGCGGCATGGGCCTGGGGTGTTTTGTCGGCATCCACCTGACATGTGGCTGAACAGCAACGATCGCCTCTTGGAAATGGCGCAAGGTTGATTTGATTTTTTTTAGAGGTTGATATGAGCTGTTAATGCGTAGGTCGGTTCACAAAGTTAGCAGCAGTCGGGTTGGGAAAAATATTAGCATTTGAATGGGGACTCATCTGGTTTTTATTGAAGGTATAAATGTAATGTTTTCACTGTCAGCTACTTCATAATTTACAGGTTGTGTGTATGGAACCTTAAAAGCTCGTTGTGTTCACTTATATATACCAAAGCACTTTATCTAAGTTGTTTTTTGTTTGCATGTGTTCATAATTCCATACTTTTAATATCTCAAATTTGAAAAGTAAACTGTTATACGTTTTGATTGGCTCATTCCCCATACAGAGACCCATTTATTCATAAAAAGAGTGATGGCAATTGACTTATCACTGGGATTTTATTTTTTAAATAAGACATTACATTTATTAATCAATTATCGATGGTAGTGCTGGTACAATGCCAAATGCAATGACTTTCCAGTAATCCTTCTTCACCGCCACCTTGTCCTACAAAAGATACGCCACGCTACATATTATTTAACCACAACGCCACCCAGAGATTCGATGAATTATCGCTATTAAGGGTTGCGCTCTCGATTCAAGAATTGATGATCCTCTAAACTTGGGGTGAATGAGGCGACCACTGCCAGCAACGGGGAGTGGGGGGGATGAGATCTCGCATATGGCACATACGAATTAAAACCATCGATTCTCTCAAGCATGATTTTATTTATATCGTCAGCTAAACGAATCGATATTAATTGCCGAATTGATTAACTTTTTACACCCCTACTAAAGAATCTTATTAACTGGAACAACACGGACGCTTTTCAAAAAAATATGTATTCCTGCACTTCTGTCACTGGAACGTAATTTATATTATGCATTTTGATCCCACCCTTATGCAATCTTTACCATTACACAAGCGGCTGTGGTGATTGTAGTAGATTGCCTCTCTAAGTAAATGATTTATATGACAAGGCTGATTCACCAAAGTCTGAAATGTGTACCATAAATATTAACGAACCATGTTATAACCTCAGTGGTACTGAGCTTCCCTAGGCAAATGGCAGTGCACCGATGATCAGATGAATGATGATCAGAGGAATGAGGACGTTTAATAAGTGTTTACAGTTGTATGGTAAACTGGTCTAATTAACTTTAATGCAAAACAGCAAAAGGATACATTTTGAGTGGCTGTAAATTTCTCCAGTGAAATCTGTAGTGGAGCTTTGTTATTCTCTCCCTTAAAATCTAATTTGTCATAAATGTCAAATTGAATGTATACGTATAGGAATAGGGCACAATCTGTTTTTAATGTATCCTGGTGCTCTTAATAACCGTCGTTGTTTAGTCAAATTATAATCCTCTGCCATTAACATTTGGACAGAGGGCTTTAGGTTAAACATTTGAAAATGGATTGTGTTGGGCCATACGAATAGCAGTTTTGAGAAGTCCTGGACTGAAAAAAAGTCCCTACGACTGCCTTGTTCTGATCTACCTTGTTCTGATCTGAGTCTCAAGGGTGAGATTTTCACCAACAGGGCTATTGTTCAGCCTTACCTAATTACGTTTCCTTAATTGCAGTGCAGTATGCGCCCACGATTAGAAACACTCGAGACAGGACACCAAGGCATGACAAGAATTCTGTTATGCATCCTGGTTATGTTAAGCTCATTATGGTTTTAATCAGGTATTATGCTTAAATGTATTAAAGCAAATGGGAATATATTTTAATGTTTGAACTTCTGTTTTGAACAGTGATTTGAATATGTATATCTATAGCGCTTTGCCAATCCACTGCTAGATGAAGACCTCTCCACACTGTCTCATTCATGGGGATTGCTTGCCATACTTCTCCAGAATGAGCTCCGCTGTCACTCGTCACTGATATTATCAGTGGCCAAGAAGTGAACTCGGGTCGCCAAATAAATGAGTGCAGTGTGCGAACCACTGTGCCATCACTCTCTCCCTGATTAAACCGTACTGTAACAGAACACCACTCTAAACGGAGGAACCCATAGCGCTAGTAATAAACTATAACGGTCTTAGGAATTATTCATCGACAGGTTGTTTTCCTTTTGGTCATGTGGATAATCTATTTATAAATATATTCGGATTTTTATTTCAGAGAAGTGCGTCCAATTTTAACAGGACATCCAATACGAGTACAATCATTCTAGTTTTTTTATCGTCAGATTAATTTGATGTAGGAAAAAAACTATCTGACAACTTGTTGACCGAATTACACGCGTTGCTCAAATATAGTTATTTATATTTTAAAAAACATTCCACCAATTTTTTTTCAGTGTGGAACTAAAGGGACCTGTGGTTGCTTAAACTTTCAATTTATCCATATTTTTATCGCACGGCGGCTAATTAAATATACTGAGCCTGGGATTTGACTTGTATTTGCTTGATCCGTGCAGTTTTGATGCATGGCTTTGGTGTAGTATAATTAATTTCTGCTGTATGCTTGTGATTGCATTAATGTATGTATGAAACGATGAGGGCAGCAGATCAGTGAAATTCAGCATGATTTATTGAAATGTAGCTTTGCTGATTTGTTTTCCCAATGCAGAGACATATTTCACTGGTATTAAATTCGGGCAAACTTCAAGGTCACCCTTACAACACAAATATATTTCCGAAAAGGTCCAGGCTACAGTGCATGTTACGTTACTAAAATATTAAAAAGCAATTTTTTCGGAATTTATTACAACCATCGATACCATATGATGGCATAAAAGTCACGTATGGGGAAAATAAAATAAGAATTGATGCGTTTGCTGTGCGAGTGGAGAAAGGACAGGTTCTGAAACAATGTGACATCACAGCGACGATCGTGTATTACAATGAAGTGGCTCAACGCATTGGGTTTAGATTTGCTGTGCATGAGCGTGAGCATAATTAACTTCACTCGCGTCACGCGTTAGTGGCTGCATGTTGATGAGCATCTGGGCGCAATAACATTGCAGTGACTGTCTGCAACCCTCTGTCTCTGCTGCTGGGCAGTCGGTCTCCCTAAATGGGCTGTGCTCATTCTGTGGAAGAGGCGTACATGGGACTATTTTTTTTATGATCCGTAAACATTTACTCGATGTAATTGTGGATTTTTATTATTTGATTTAAAAATGTAAAAAATATGTATCTTAACAGTTCACACACCTAAGACATGCATAGCTATAGACAGAGCCTATAGCTATGCATGTCTTAGGTTTTGCTGCACTGTTGTGTTATAAAATGCCAACTTTTATTGCCTGAGGTCCTATAACTGCCGTGCATATGCTCAATCTCCCGTAATCTTTTTGAAGCGATTTTTGTTTCATACTGAGAATGACACAGATGGCGCTCTAGACTGGATGAACATGAATCTTGTTTCTTCTTTATCGAGTCGAGGGTTCGCCGAGCCACCGCTTAGGGAAATTACAGTGCTTGTTGTTTAAAATGTAAAGATTACACGGTGCTGTCGAGGTGAGCTCTAGTGGGATGAATGGGGAGTGTCTGATGCCGAGGAGGACGTGGGCACGAACAATTGCTGAGCGGATATCGGCAGCAAACCAGTCTCCCGCTGCCCGGTCCAAGTTTAGCTGCACCCTACATTGAGCATGCAACCTGAGAAGAATGTGAACTGCAGTTAGTGCAGACTGGATACCAACTGGAGTGCAGCTGAGGTCCTTTTAAAAATGCCACCTGAGTCAGATGATCAATCACTTCGAGTTAACAGTTCAAGCTGGCTTGAGGTGGGGGGGGGGGCCTTTCCGAGTCACGGTTTAAAGAACAGTCTGGTTACCTCGAAGGCACGCGCTACTGCGCGACCTGTTTGAACACGGTTAACCCGAGCCTTTTCTTATCGTCGCTAACTCGCATTTCAATCTTAATTTTGCGGTTTGCGGCCGGCGGAGGTATGCTTGAACCGTAAGCGCGTGTCGAGTCACATGCGGCCACCTGCATATATAGAGACTGCTGTGCTCTGAGGCCACCGGCACCATCCCACATGCGCCGGTCACGTGGGCAAGTCCGCACGTGCTCTCGGTGCGTCGGAATTGTCGACACGTGTTTTACTCGTGCTTTTTTCTTTCACATTCTCTTGTGTGCATTGTTAAGTTTTGTCTCATCTTATTCCTCTGTTTGAAGACGGTCAGACAAAATTACATAGGGCATTGCGGTTCTGCACTTCCGATTAGCACCGTTGCCTATGTACGGTGCAAAAGAAGTTCAACATACATACGTCCCTAATATAGGAAGACACATCAGAGTAAAAAAAAATTACTGGCCAAGACTAATTAGAGAATCCATTGAAATTGAGAGAAACAGAAACCACTTCAATCGCTCTGACAGCTACAGGCTTAGTG